GAGAGAGAGAACCACACACTGTGTTGTTGTAACATTACATAACGTTCTGTCAGAACCTCCAGCACTGTGACGTCGTCGTGGATTTCTCTGTAACAACATAACACAGAGCTATTTTGTTATTGTGGCATACATTTCTGCTTTTATTTTGATAGTATAGACGGACAGGAAACATGATGGGGTAATGCAATAATTAGTTACTCTTTAAGACAAGTAATCACATTACTAATTACTCATCAGCAAAGTCTTCAAAATATTGGGGGGGGGGGGCAAAGGCCTCAGTCATAATTCGAACATGTGACCTTTGTGATCACCTCGTGTTTCGAGTTCAGTACAAGTAGAAGAAACTCCCAACATGGCCGCCAGATATTTTTACTTCTAGGTTTTCAGATATTTTACTTCCCATCGAACAGGAAGTGGTTTTGCTTCCTCAATTATTTAATGTGAGGTTTACTAGTAAAACAGGCTGAATTCTAACAAATTAGTTAGTTAACTTAAATCAGACAGCTAGATATTGATTTGCGTTTACATCGCTGTGTGTTACGTCCTCACTGTGATGCAGCTAGTGCTATAAACTAGAACCAGCGTCTACCTTCCGGGACAGAACACAATTTCTGAGCCCAACAGCATTCTGGGTCTGGGTCAGTTAGCCTAGCTGCATGGCTGATTGCTGCTTTCCATGTTGAACCGCCATGTTTCTACAGTAGCCTAGAACGGACAAACACTGGCTAGATAGGAACTTTAATGTTTTTTTCGTGAGTTTTGTGGCCACTGTAGTTTCTCCTGTGTGAACCCAAACCAATTTGTTTTACATACGTTGCCTCAATTACGCTGGGTACGTAACCAAACCGTTTCAAAATGTTAACCACATTATTTTGAAAGTCTAACCAGAGTACGCATATTCATTGTCGATCTCTGCGCATCCATGATAATACCTACCTTCAGGTGTGATGGTGATACTGGTATCATATGAAACTAGATGGACTATTGGTACCAACCATGTGATGCTAGCATGTCAGCAAGGAGGCTAAACAATAACAGGCGCAGTTTTGTTGCAGTGAGAGCGTTGTTTGTAGGAAATGAGCACATGGTTGCGTGTGTTGTGCAAACTTTGACCTCCTAGTGGTGCTACATGAGAGTATCACCGGAGTCTTATGAATATGAATGACTGTACAACATTTTATCTTCATCCGTTTGATAGTTGTTGTTTTTTCTGTCTGAATCGAAATGGCACACCACCTCGCTAACATGCTACCAGATGCTAACTGTAGCTACGTAGCATCAGAACTTACTGGAACCAATTCTTTCTTCTTCGTCAGAGGTTATTTTAGAGACATCTCAATTCGCTGAAGTAGCAAAGGTTTATTGGTCACTGAAGTCTTTTTGGTATCTGTGAAAGGAGTCTCATCCTCGCTTCCTCCTCACGTCTCAGTTGGGAGGGACTAGGAGGCGAGGAGGTGAGGAAAGGAAACAAGGATGTACAAACTAAGGACTGAAGAGGAAAGCTCCTCTGGTTGGATGTTAGCTAACGTTCAGTTAAACACAAACACGTCCAGTTTCTCTTTGACCTGATGTTATTGTTAAAAGAGAAACGTTGAGTTTCCTCCTCAGACTTTGGTTGTGAAGTTGTTGCGGTTCCACCCAGAACCGGATTGAGTCCACAGAACATTTATATTTGCTCTCTGCGAGGTTGAGTGTTTCTGTGCAGGCTGAATGATCTGAGTGTGTGCTGTCGGCAGAATATTAATGAGCTCAGTGTGATCTGTCAGACATACAGAGCAGCTCACACTGCCACTGCTGATCTGCACCAAACCTCCAGCAAAAACTTCACAATTCTTCCCCACGAGGACGAGTCACTAACACAAACTGCTCATTTCAACTTACTGTTACAGCGTGAACAGCGCCTGTCCTCACAGCCTCCGTTCGGATGAAATGAACCCTTTAACAGAGAATGAATGTGTTTCAGAAAAGATCGACAGAAGGATGCAAACAGGAGAAAGAGTACTGACCTATGCCCTGTATATACAGCATGACGTCTGTCCTTTATCCTGACAGCAACAATCACTGTTTTTCAACCAATTTTCTCTTTTTCTTTACAGATATTTTACATTCAGTTTTCCCATTTCACAAATCAAAGAGAACTTTTAAAGTGTCAGGAAGACAAAGACAACACTTAAATAGAATAAAAAGTAGAAATACTCGTCCCTCTTTACTCAGTAAAAGTGAAAAAGTACCGGCTCAGAAATGTACTAAAAGTAAAGTACTGTGTTGGTATTTTCTGAAGGACATTTCTACGACTGTTTCTGTGCAAAGCTAACTGACCCCTCAAACAGGGTCGACTCCCTCTCTGGTTGTTGATCCTCCAGGATTTCACTGCTTTTTGTGGTATTGTTGGGCCTAAAATTCCTCATTTCACAGCAGCTTTTCTACAGAATTTCTAATGTTTTTGGAAATTGTTTTGCATTGAATTTGGGGGAGAAAAGCCCAAAATAGTATAATTCATTAAAAAACAAAGGAACCTGGTTCCAGGAGAATAAAATCAGTGGTAGTTTTGTGCAGGAAATGACACTGATTGCAGTGGATTACACTAGTTCAATCTGCAAAAAAGTTATAATTATGAGATAATAACTCAATACATATAATAGTTCAAAATGTACAAAACCAAAATAAATAGTTTGTTAATTTAAACTCATTTTCTGTTTGTTATCTGACAGGTTTGTGATGTTTTACTGCCTGAAACTTCTTAAATAACTACTGAATAAATACATTTCTATATATTTAACGTCTGCAGTGGGTTCAGCTGTTTATAATAGAAACTGAGTGTGCTCATAAACATTATATTTATTTAAAATTGTGTTATTTTACTGTTTAAATCATATTTATGTGCGTTATATCCTCCTTTACAGCTTGTCTTAATGCCTCTTTATGTCACTGTAAGTTGTTGCTGTTGTAAAAAGGTGCTGTGCTGATGAACTCACTGTGTGTGATCAGCAGCTCACTGATTTATGACTCAGGTTTTAAAAGAAATTGGAGTCAATATAAATTCAGTCTGACACTGGCCAGAGGCCAGTGGGGGGAGGAAGAGGAGGAGGAGGAGGGTGTGAAGTGGTCGTGCAGCAGAATTATGAGCTGACTGTAATCTGCAGACTGGTTTGAAATACAGGACGTTCGAAAAGTGTGACAATAACTTTGGTTACCTGGCTGAGAGGCTGCAGGTGTTCAGCTCTTCCTCTAACAGCTCGCTGTGGCTGCTCTTCTTCATCCATTCCCCCCTGACATATTTACAACTGGTCCACTGTCAGAAAATGTCCAGAATAACCGTTTGTTCTCTCGTTTTGTAGACATTTTAGATCAATGACAGTGGTCAGCATTGCATATGTCAACTTTTCTTTCCACAGTTAAATGCTTTTAGGTGCAGTGAGTATGATTTAACTCTTAATGATGAGATAATAATTCACAATTACTAGATAATAACTGATAATTATGAGATAATAACTCATTAAATGCTTTAAAAGGTGCAGTGTGTAGGATTTAATGGCCTGTAGGGATGGGACGATATGAAAATTTGTGGTGTGACATCATGATGATGTCGTGGCGCTCAGGTGTCAGTATCGGGGGAGTCTTCAGGCCGACACAACAGTCAGATATTGATCAGTCACTTAGTGTTCCCTCTCTGATCGATCAGACAGACAGAAGCTCTGCAGCTCTTCAGTAATACTTCATCTACTGACAGACGTTAACGTAAAATTACTGAGAACATTCAGATAAAGAAAAACACGACATATTCAAACACTGTAACGAAAGTAACGTTAATCTACATTGAGTTATAGTTTTCTTTTTTGTCACTGAAAAAGGTCATTAGAGAATATCTAAAGTACGGCTGCCACCAACTAAAGATTGTCCAATCGACTAGTTGCTGATCGTTTCCGATATTACTGTATTGATTATAATCTGTATAATCTGTTAAACACTAACAGAAACAGCAGTAATGAGTCTGAATGTGTCAGAACAACCAACAAGGAGACTGAACCTTTAGTTCATTTATTCCAACACAGTGTAACATCACACAGCTCTGGTTGGTTCACACACGGAATACTTCCAACTTCCACTGAACTAATGATTAATGAAATAACTGATCGATACGATGGATGATGTTTAACGTTAACAGTTCTTGACTAATTAATTGGCTACAAACTGGCTCCTCTTCTTCCCTCTTCCTCTACCTGTCGCTGCCTGAACCCGCTGGGTCTTCATCCCAGAGGTCAGCAGTCCTGGTCGGAGCGCTGGACATCCAGCCGGCCTCCGTTGTCCACCCCCGATCCTGGTCTCTGCTCTTCGAGCCCCGCTCTTCTGGCGCGATTTTAATATTTAGGGTTTAATCTGTTACAAACAGACGATCCACAGGAAGTGAACATTTCTGTGACTTCCTGTTTGCTGCTGTCTCTCAGGGTGAGACCAACGGGAGGCAGATGGTTGTTGAACTCAGACACTGAGACACTTTAAAAGCTGTTGTGATGCAATTTTGTTAATATATATACTATATATCGGTAGGATCACACATTATGATCTATCTGTCTATGAATCTTTGAGGTTTTCGCTTCCTGTCTGACTGTCAATCTAAGTGAAGCCCTCAGTATCTTTACTCTCACTTTTAAATGCAGAGGGTTTCAGTTTGCTTTCAGAAAGAACTATGATATATTGATAGATAATATTACTGCTCTCTGCTTTAACATTTTATTTCTGACATTTCTGATGACTGTTGGGGTCTTTTTAGGACAAAATTAACCATTTTACACTGTCAGTTTAATAAATCGTGTATCAAATGTATTAGAATTCATTTCATTTCTCATAATAACTTTATTGTGTTGGGATATTTGTCAAATAATCTGCTATTAAATTTACCATAACCCTTAATTATGCAATTTATTCATTTAAATTAAATCATAAAATGTACAGGGTTTTTCAAGACTATTTTACAGATTTTTTTTCCTGTATTTTTTAAAAACAAGGAAATAGTTACAAAAATAGGCTGTGAATTTAAATGTTTAATGTTATAATAAAATACAATTCTATCAGTGTATAAAGCCTTGGTAAACTGTCCAAAAAACAGTTTTTATCAGTATAAAATTGTTTATCTACCAGTTCTCATAAATTTAAACATCAATTAAAATAATACAATCCAATAATAAAAGCATCCTGCTGTCAAAGTGTAAGTCCTGATTATTTGTATTATCAGCAGAGTTCACCTGGATTTATAGATCATTGTTTTACACTGTAAATATCTTTAATTAAACATTAAAAAGACAAAAATACACAAGATTTTATGCAAAATTAAAGCTACTGTATTTTAATTGTAGAAAATTACTGTATTTTATAAGTCAGTTATTTACTGATTTTTTTTTTGTTTTAATGCCTCTTTATGTCACTGTGAGTTGTTGTTATTAAAAGGTAAAAAGTCAGTCATTTACAGTATTTACAGATGCCGAAATATTAGTTGTTTAATAAGTGTCATTTAATTTAAATGATACAATATTAACTCCTAATTATAAAAAACATGATGATTTCTAAATACAAACTCTATTAACAAGCAAGACACATCTTTAATTGTCAGTTAATTAACTGTTTTCTCAATTAATCGATTTCATGTCGGTAAACAATAAAACAAAATAAATCTCAGTTGAGGTCTTGACAAAGAGATTCAGTTTCCTGCGATAGAAAACAGAAAATCTGCGTCGTTTATTGGAGTGTTTGATTGATCAGCGTCTCATTAACGTTAATGTTCACGCAGCCGTCGTACGGTTGATGTTTGCTGTTTGATTTGTGATTTGAGATGCAGAACTCCCCCCTGTTAAGATTTTATTGGACTAATTGCAGAGATGATGGCGAGCAGGTAATCGCACGCTGAGCAATCTCTCAGGAGTCCCGGCGGTTTCCGGTGAAACGGCGTCCTGATGCTGCTGATTGATGAAGGCCCATTCGGGAGGAAGCTGAAGGCTAATGGAGCAGCAGCAGCTAATTTATGACAACATTAACACAAAGGGGGGGTGAGGGGGTAATAAGAGACAGGAAACTGCTGCTGATGGTGATGAAGAGGAGGATGATCATAAGGGTTTCAGTAATGATTGACAGGAGGTCCTTCCAGAGAAACACTCATCAACTGTCTCACATTAGCCACTGTAGCTCCTTTACCTCCAACATGCTACCAACTGATCAGAAATTTAAGGTTTTTTTAGGCCATACAATGAAAATAAATTATTTATCTGTACAGTTTGTGCAGGAACAAACATACATTTTAGAGAAGAAGCAATAAAAAAACAGAATAATTTGAGTTAAAACAGTAAAACCTTTGTGTCTAACAGCTTTACTGAGAAGAAATCTGGAAATATTCGGATAAAGAACAAAAGTAAAAATGTACCAGCATATAAAAGCTACTCAGGTCAACACAGAACCAGTTTCACTTCACTGCTTTTCTCTCTCTGTGTTTATTTTCAGAGTGTTTAAGAAAGCCAGTCCTAATGGAAAGGTGAGTCCTCTTTTTCTTCAACCTGCTGAAAAACCTGGCTTACATTAAAGTATGTGACCTCCTGGAAGTGTAGACACCAAGCAAACGTACCAAAAAACACAACAGCCGAACAAAATAAGTAAAATAATCTGTAAATTTAAGGGGTTTTTCACATTTATTTTTTATTTTTTTATTTTTTATTATTAAATATTTGGAAATATTAATAAAATTACAAAAATATTCTGTGAATTTACATGTCTAATGTAAAATAACATGAACAATCTGTAACTGTTAATAATCCTAAAATTACTGCTTATTTAAAGAGATTTTTTTATTTTTTTTTTACTTAAAAAGATTAAAGCTAAAACTTGTATTTTAATTATAATTACTGTATTTTTAAGAGCGCCTCTGCGATATTACTGTTTTTTTTTTTTTTACAAGAAAAAGCTGATTGTTGATTCTGATTGGCTGATCTGACCGCTGTGTTCCTCCCTCAGCTCACCGTCTATTTGGGGAAGAGAGACTTTGTGGACCACGTGGACCTGGTGGAGCCTGTTGGTGAGATCAGTTTTTACTAATATTAATTATTGAAGGTCATATTGTTATTGGCTAGTCTTTATTTCAGTTTGGGGTTAGGTTAAAATCAGAATAAAAACCTGCTGTCCTCTGATTGTTTATCCACTCTCTGACTTTTCTTCCTGCAGACGGCGTCGTCCTGATCGACCCGGAGTACCTGAAGGAGAGGAAAGGTAAGAAATCTTTGAACGCTCCTTTCAGTCTATGTAACTTTTATTAGAAAAAACAGAGGCCCCATGGCGCTTCCCTGAGGAACTCAACAACCTTTTGAAGAGGCTGTTTTAAGGTGGTATAGCTATAGTGAGAGAATTCAGATTCAGATTCAGATTCAGAAATACTTTAATAATCCCAGAGGGAAATTATTTTCGTTACACACTCCAGATA